CAGGAGCTCATCGATAAGTCGCTGCGGAGAGGCCCGTGCGATAGATATTTCAGCATAGCTGGCGGCATGAGAATGGCGATGAGGCGTTGCGTGAGCAACACGCCTGCAGCTGCCCTGGGTCTCGTGCTGGAAACTGACGTCTCGCACCAGACTGTAGCAAAATGGGAATGCCACCTTCGAGCCGCATTGAAAGCTGCAGGCCGTTCTTTCCACAACAATATGGCTTCTTGTATCAAGAACATTCACGATGCTGCGCGCGCAGATGGACCGCCAGCGCCAGCAGTGACAGTTTCTCTCCACGCGCTGCGCGGAGATGCGACCAATGCTCAAGTTTGGCAGAAGTCCAAGCTCCACACCCTGGAGTTGACCGCTGGGTACGTGAGCACGCCAATTCATGAGCACGATACGTTGTCATCGGTTCTCAAAAATTTCAAAGTCAGGCGAGAGATGGGAGACTTGCAGGTTGTTGGCAGGAGCACGACGCAGGGCACCCACGGCATGATATTGAAGCAGCTGACAAGCACGTATTCTAAGAGCTGGGTAAGCAGGACTATCGATTACAATATACTGGCTCTGCCTGCTGCGGAGCCCGATCGCCTTCCACTTCCAGCAGCGCCGCTACCACATGCAGACGGCGCCGCTCCTGCACACCTTGCACTTCCAGCAGCGCCGCCGCTACTTGCAGATGGCGCCGCACTTGCCGCCGTGGAGAGCACCGCGATTGCCGAGTGGGACCGAGCAGCACAGATCGAGATGCCGCACGTGGAGGTGTGGGCGTTCACATCAGACGCAGGCTCCGATGAAGTGGGGGCTCGCAAATGGATGCATAGGGAATGTGCTGGCAACGCGTGGTGCTGGGCGTTCGACGGCGACTGCCTCATGCACCAGTTGCATATCATGGCGAGGTCAGTCTTGGAAGATTGCGACATCATGCTGAAAGAATTGATCGAGGCCCAGAACCGCGCCCGAGTGGCAGCGGGCGGAACAGCAGCAATCATCATACGGTATTACGCGACGCTGGGGAAGATTATGCATCTTTGGAGGGACAACGCCCGCGACATGTTCACCAATTGGGTGAAACATTTCGGCGCCGTGAACGGGATGACGCATGCCCAGCAGGTACCGCCCAAGCCGCTTGTCGGCCGCTGGGGCAACACAACCCTTTGCGAGAAGCACCTTGATAGATGTCTTGGAAGGCAGTTGAGGCCGCTCTTGTTATCAATGCTCGCAGATAGGAAAGAAGACTCGGAGAAGCTCGTTGCAAGTATATCAAAGAAGATGGAAGCTTCTGGTGGTGAGCTCGACGAAATGGGACAGGAGGATATGCAAGTGTACGCTATGAGACAGAGCAAGTATGCAAAGGATGCATCCGCTGGGGTACGAGAGGATCTGTTCTGGGTGATGGTACCGGTCTCGCGCAAGCTCAAGGCCCCGTACGACCATGCCTTACACTGCCTGATGAAATCACAACCTGAACGCTCACCATCCAGCCTGGCGTTGTTCACGTGGGGCAAGGCTGCCGAGATCAAGCAAGAACTTGACGGCCTACTGCAGCGGAGCGCCTGGGAAGATGTTATGTGCAGAGCTCCTGTTGATATCCGTGGCTTGTTGTGGACTTGGATCAAGAGACTTGTTGTAAGGTGCATCGTCGACTACGAGCGACGCATCACGTCGAGGGTCACTTCCTATCCGTACAAGCTTCTACTCATGGTAAAAGAAGAGGCAGGAGCCCAATGCGATGAGCGGAAAGCAGTGGCAGCTGAACTTTTGAACACACCAATGGACAACCTCCATATAACAGCAGCCAAAGTGGTACATATGTTCCAGGCGGAGATCAGAGAAGCTTCTCGGACGGGTGTGCTTAGTATGCGGGTGTGGATGCCTCTATATCTTGCTTCGGTCTTCTGGCGCGGAGACACGCAGGAGATCGAGGGAGTGAACAACCTGCTACAGACCGTGGTTCGCCGAGCACCATCCATTGGGTTACCTCTTTTGGATGCGCGGGTCGCAATACGAAAGACAGCATGCTTGGGAGTTCGAGGCGCGTCCTTGAAGTGGACTGACGTTGCGCCCAGGGTGAACGCAGCTATCGCCGAAGCTATCGACCACGCTTCTGAGATAGACAGTGTGCTCAACATGCCGTTCCGTTTCAGCGTTCCTGATCCGACGCTGGCATTGTGCGACACAGGTGGATCGAGGCCTACTGACCCAAAGGGCGACCCTGCAGCTCTCCTGTGGGGCCAACGGTACAATCGCAAGTGGTTCAACCAGGTTAAGGCCGAAGGTATCAATGTGTTGCAGTTCGACGGAGACGATCATTGTTGGGTTCTTGCTCTCACATACGGTTCTTCTGGCCACATGGTCAAGTGCAAGCTCAACGCAGACGGCAGCGACCTCAGAGCAGTCACTCCTATTGTTGTCGTATCGTCATTGGATGTGTTCTCGAAGCTCTATTCGAGGTGCGTCAAGCCACCTGATGGAGCAGCAAAGCAAGTCATCAATGCACGTGTTCACCTGCGAGCTTGGGGCGATTTGAGGATCGATACGTCTACAGATGCTCCACGTCCAGGGCGCGACAACGAGATGCTGTTCGCACTCGACGATTCGCCGCCAACTCCGAGGAGCAAGGAACCTGCTGCGCCGAGAAAGAAAGACAAGAAGGCAACACTACCCGTTCAGGACGCACAGGCGCAACTTGGCTTCGAATGTGACGATGGGTTGACGGAAGAGCTGGAGAGGATCCTTGAGGAGTTGGAGGGCCGCGACGAACCAACTATGCAACCAGGGTTTGAAGCTGAAAGTTCTGAGCTCTCAGACGAAGCGGAGGCTCGCAAAGGCATTGATGTTTTGGAGGACACAGAGTTTGCCAAGCAATTCATTTCAGTGTTAGAGAAGCACACGGACGAGGACGACACGATGCGAACGGATACCCAAGACTTACACGACGCAAGTATTGCCAAATCGCTACACGATGTTGTTGTTGAACATGGTCTTGCTGGTGCCCCTGCAGATCAAGGCCCTGCAGCTCCAGCGCCTGCAGTCAACAAGGGCATGCATGCAAAGTGGTTAGAGGAGGTGCAGGTGTCCATTGCGGCTCTCAGCGACCGAAGCCATGCTACACTATACACCCCTGTTGGGGACAAGGGCGAAGTGTCCTTGGTGCATGAAGAGAGGAATGGGGGGCACTGCGTCGAGTTTGTCAATTGGGCGAACGCTGCTGCACGCTGGGGGCAAAAGGTGAGAGACGAGAACGGCTCTCTGATCTTCTCCATGGTGATTGGAGCGCACGCCCAACCACATCGCAGCTACGCTCACGCTACGATATTGCATCCAGCATGCGGGACCCGCATGATGAAGGTGAGCCTCTTGTCTCCTTATCCCTTTATCCTCTTATCCTCCTCCTCCTCTTCCTCCTGACTTCCTCCTCCTCCTCCTCCTCCTCCTCCTACTCATCAGTGGCGCCATCTCTTTATCCTCCTCCTCCTGAGTTGTTCAGTGCGGCCAGGTGGCCAAGGCGCTGGGCAGGCCGAGCGTCACCCCGCAGGCGCTGCGTGTGAAGCACATCGCTGAGATCGCCGTGGCCGAGCCAGCTGCCCCCTTGCTTCCCTGTTTCGTTCGCGACAACAGTGAGGAGGATGGCTTGCACCAGTGTTGCGTGTGTACGCTAGTGTGCCACATAGCATGCTCCAACTCCCTCGTAGAGGACTTTAGAGAGTTGGGGGTTCCGAGGTTTGATAATGATATAGTGTTGCCAGCTTGCGTGACTAACGCGCTAGGCACACACCGAGTTTGCCCTTGCTGCGTCGGTATCTTCGGGCCACCGTAGCGCTCTTGGAGCCCCGCGCATCCACTGCCAGTGCCCAGTTACAGTCGGGAAGCTGGTCACATACTGTTCGGGAGCCGTTGCTCGCATGAACATCCGTGAGGTCGGGGTGAGTTCCTTGCCCCCCTCTCCTCTAGCACCCGAGGGGTCGGGGGGGCCTCCCGACCCACCCCCTCCAGCACCCGAGGGGTCGGGAGGAGCTCCCGACCCCCCCATCCAGCACCCGAGGGGTCGGGAGGAGCTCCCGACGCCCCCCCTCCAGCACCCGAGGGGTCGGGAGGAGCTCCCGACGCCCCCCCTCTAGCTCCCGAAGGGTCGGGAGGAGCTCCCGACCCCCCCCGCCCAGCACCCGAGGGGTCGGGAGGAGCTCCCGACCCCCCCCCCCCCGCCCAGCACCCGAGGGTCGGGAGGAGCTCCGGGAGGAGGAGCTCCGCACCCGAGGGGTCGGGAGGAGCTCCCGACCCCCCCCTTCCAACGCCCGAGGGGTCGGGAGGAGCTCCCGACCCCCCCCCTCCAGCACCCGAGGGGTCGGGAGGAGCTCCCGACCCCCTTCCCCTCCAACACACAATGGGGTCGGGAGGAGCTCCCGACCCCTCGGATGCTGGTGGCCGGTGGGTCGGGAGCTCCTCCCGACCCCTTTGCTGATCACGCGGCCCACCGGTGGGTCTTGTCCGCCCCCCGTCGTGGCTGCCCTTGCGCCCTTTCCTGTTCGGTCCTCGCCTGCTCGGCCCGCCCTAGCGCATTGGGCACATCCTCCAAGGGTCTTGAATCCAGCATGTCCTCGTTCAGCCCCTAGGGCTCTTAGGGCGCTCTGAGTCGTCGGGGGACACCGCCCCTCCTCCTCCCTTGGAGGGCCCCAAGAGGGCCCCAAGACGGCTCCAGGCGGCCCCCGAGAGGGTCCCAAGACGCCCCCAAGAAGCCCCCCGTGGCGTATATAACTCGAGGCTCTTGTTATGCACCCACTGGGGTGGCCTTCTTGGAGCCCTCTCGGTGCTTTCCTGGACCTCCCCCCAGGGTCCCAGGGCCCTCGGAGGGCCCCAAGACTGCTCCAGGTGCTCCCCAAGAGGGCCCCACGATGCCCCCACCCCATCCCCCCTCGACGTCCTCCTCCGTAGCCATTTTAGCTCAGCCAGCTTTCCGAGCACTCGATTGAATTCTTCTTGGGGCTGACGCCCAGATGTCGTTCGCCGACGGATCTCCCCAGGAAGCCTCGCCAGACTCAGCATGGCGGCCGAAGGTCGGCACCTGGGACCCGTGCGAGTCCATCGACATTCGTCTCGAGGGCCTCGAGGGGGCCGCCCGCGTGGACTTCGTCATGACGACGTACGTGTTGCCAAGGCCGCCCACTGCAAAGCTCTACTTGTGGAATTCTGCTACGGGCGAGAAGCGCGTGCGCAGGCACATGCTCAACCAGCGCACACAAAAGGCAGTGGTGGTGCGATGCTGCAAGCTGTTCATGAAGCGAGGCCTGATGACAGCATTCAGGGGGAAGATGTGGCACGTGAAGGACACGAACGGAGACGCCGACCTGATGATCGGCGGTGGTACGTTGGTTGACGCCATCCACATGGCGCATAGGTTGGACCCCACGAATCAGCACGTCGCGTGGGTGTACAAGAACGGCATCAACGACACATACGAGTTCCATCGCGATACTCCGTTGGACGTCCTGAAGTGGGTTCTAGGAAGGCACCAGCTATACACCAACACCGATCCTGGCCAGGATCACCCTGGGCCCAGGATCGGTGCATACGCCATACGCCCCCCTGCCTTGGGCAAGAAGGCATATACAGCGATCATGGGCCCAGGGTGATCCTGGGCCAGGATCGGTGATGGTGTATAGTTGGTGCCCTCCGAGGTTCGCGTCCAAGCGAACATGTACCACACGGGGTCGGAGGCCACAGTGATCGAGCTGTACGACGAGTGCCCAATCATCCAGAAGCACTGGGACGCACACCGCAAGAAGCACTCCATCACGAAATCCACGTGCCCTTCGAAGGGCCCGCACCGATACGAGAAGCAGCACGAGGAGTTCGTGCTGGCCAATCACAAGGATTTCTTCGGATCGACGCCATGGCAGCACTTCGAGAACTGCAAATCTTTCTACAACGCAATGGCCAACGTTCTCGGTGTGTACGACGAGTACAAAAATATGATGGAGCAGAAGTCAAACTTCTTGGACCCCCGCATCGACAACCAGACGATGTGCAGGTTCAATCACGACATTGTGTCGCTGCTCGTGGAGAAGTTCTCGAACGCGATGGACCCAGTCATCTTCAAGAAGCTCGTCATCGAGGTCCTGAAGTTCGCCGCGCCGATCTTGCTGGACTCCGAAGACATTGACTCGGAGACGAGCTCGAACCCAAAGCTTGAGGTGCCCTGGATCTTCTGGGACGCTAAGTCCCGCATCAAGTTGGACTGGATGATGGCGCCCATGGGTGGGTCTGTCGTCTACGACCCCACTTGCAAAAGGAGAGGCCAGGCATCCAGGGGATCAAAGCGCAGTGCATGCCAGCTTGAGGCTGTACCTGAGGACGCCGAGGTTCGCGATGGTGGTGCTGTGAACCCTCAGCCTCTGGTAGACACGGACGGCCACGGGAAGCCGAATGCCAAGGCCAAGGCCAAGGGCAAGGGGAGACCCAAGAAGACTAGTGGCTCCTGCAGCGCCTCAGGCAGCGAGTCGCACGAGCCCCCCCTGGAGACGAGGCGCATTTGCGATGGATCGCGCGACAAGTACTTCATCGACGATATGATCGGGGTCATTTGGGGGCCAGTGGAGAAGCCCCCGTCGAATCTCATCCTCGTTGACGAGCTCTCGCGTTCGATCAAGATTGGCCTCATGTTCCTGTTTACAGGGGGCGTGCAGTGGAACGGCACATACATCGAGAAGTGGAGCGTGCTACGCAAGGAGCTCAGGGCGAACACTGCTCGCGTTCATTCGCATCTGTATCAGAACCATCTCGATGCATCCTTGTGGGGCGTTGCACCTGAGAAGGTCGTCACAGTTGTCTGCGACCAGCTGGCGACTGCGGAGCAGGCTGAACATCCAGTGCCATCTGCGTCCGCCACGTACGCAACCAAGGAGCAAGAGACACTTGCGACTCTCCAAACCGATCGTGACACCATGATGCAATTGGTCACGCTGATCAACGACACCGACCTCACCAAGCCGTGCAGATTCCACCCGCAACTCCAGAACATGGTGAAGACGATCTTCGGGTGGAACGGCGACGTGAGCGTGGGCCAGGCCCTGAGCATGATGAAGGACTTGATATTCAATCATATTCGCCCTGAGTTCGTGGACTTTGGTTTTCTATGCCGCGAAGTGGTTAGGCAGACCAGTGCGACTCCATCCGACGTGTCCTTGGGAATCTTCAACACTGATATCAATCTCACGCGCTTCTTGGCCATGCGAGCTACCTACATGTTCGAGATGCTGGGCGCCATGGCCGACTTCGTGTTCATGAAGGATGTAAGCATGGATGTCCTGGTGGCGAACACCAGCGCCATCGCGGAGTCGGACTGCATGTTGGACCGCAACACTTGGGCGCCGTTCTGGTCGGAACTGTTGCGTGAGTCGAGCACTACGGACTTCCAAGTTGCAAGCGTGCGGAACAAAGTCCTCGCGGCAACTCTCGCCGACGGGGCAGCCAGTGCAGTCGACAAGGGCAACTGCGCCGAGGCGCCATCCGTCGAGGCAGCCACCAGCGCCGGGGCCGAGGCGCCTGCCGACGCCTCGGAGACGGCACCGGCACAGGAGGCTACGGTTACCAACGCCGAGACCAAGAAGGATGGCGACGACAAGGCCGCTGAGCCGACCAAGGAGGACTGCATTGTCATGGCCAAGAAAGGTTGACGAACGAACGACACACACCCATGCCCATAGGGAGGTCGGAGTGAGAAGGACGGGCTCTGGGCATGGGTGCGGGTTGTCGGACCCCTGAGGAGGCCCCCGTTCGAGCGGGGGGGCCTATCCGACAACGCGCGCCCACAGCTCATGCCGTCCCCCTTTATGGGTATGGGTGCGTGTTGATCGTTCGTCAAAGGTGGCGACGCAAGCACCGACGCCGCTAAGCAGGCCAAGCTCTCGACGTTGGCTGAGATTCGCAACATGTTCAAGACCAGCATCGACGTCGGGGCCGCTCCTCTCACGATTGAGTTGTTCACTAAAGCGTTGGAGACGTATTTGTGGAGGACCTACGCACACAGTCCTCCCAGGAAGGGGGCGCCAGCTGAATGGGGCACGTCATTCATCGAGGCTGACCCGTCAGAGTCGCCCCCGCGCCTGGTTGCGTCACGTGCGACGCCAGCGATCCAGATGGTATTCCTTGGAAAAGTGACGCGCATGCCCAGCAGAGGGAGCCTGCCCGTGTGCCAGTACGCCAACGAGCAGCTCTACATCGACGGCCACAACTACAGCACGTTCTCGTGCGAAGCGTTCCAGCCAGCCTGGATGGTGTCTACGACGTCCGCGAAGGCCGCCGCTGCAGCTACGATGGTCGTTCAGACTTTTCAGGACAGCTTCACGTTCACGTACACCAACGTGAATAAGGAGATCACGGTGGATGTCCCCGTGACGGTGCACTACCTCGAGATGAACCCCTCTGTGATCAAAAAGGCAAACGTGGAGTTGACCCGCCCTCCTATCCCTGGCGCCGTGACAGCAATGACAGTGACTGAGATTGCTAAGAGGACTGCTGCAGCCAATTGCCCCCGCAATACGACGGGGGAGAACAGCGAGCACAAAGCTGCGATTTCTGACCCTAAGTGGAAGCACTGCAAACACGTGTTCCGCTGATGCAATTGCGTGTCGGTGCGATTTTCGAGGCGAGGAATATCCCGAACGAAACCCGACACATCAACGACACCTTAAATGCGACGACGAGCCTCGAAAATGCAGGAACGAGCCACGGTGCGAACGCATAGCTAGGCGGCTACTGCTGGCCGAGACATTCGCGAACACGTAGCTAGACCACCGCATGGGGGAATGAGGAGGAGGAGGAGGAGGAGGAGGAGGAGGAGGAGGAGGAGGAGGAGGAGGAGGAGGAGGGGGAGGAGGAGGAGGAGGAGGAGGAGGAGGAGGAGGAGGAGGACGAATGTGCGCGACTGAGTGGGAGCGTCGCCGCCCCCTCATCGGTGGGTTAGACGGCCACTGCTGGCCGAGACATTTGCAAGCACGTAGCCGCACCACCTGATCAGTGGGTTAGACGGCTACGACTGGCCGATACTTTTGCGAGCACGTAGCTCGACCACCGCATGGGGGAATGAGGAGGAGGAGGAGGAGGGGGAGGAGGAGGAGGAGGAGGAGGAGGATGAGGAGGATGACGAATGTGCGCGACTGAGTGGGAGCGTCGCCGCCCCCTCCCTCATCGGTGGGTTAGACGGCCACTGCTGGCCGAGACATTTGCAAGCACGTAGCTAGACCACCTAATCAGTGGTGGGTTAGACGGCCACGGCTGGCCGATAGTTTTGCGAGCACGTAGCTCGACCACCTCTGCGGTGGGTTAGACGGCCACTGCTGGCCGAGACAGTTTCTTTAGATGTTGTTGGGTCAATCACAACCTTGTCCGTTCATGGGCCGATCCAACTTCAGACAGTCGAGTTTTTTTTTTTTCAGACGGCGCACCGTGGCTCAGCGCACCCCTGCAACAAAGAAAACAGCTGGGAGCCCCCCGTTCCCTCGTTCCTCCTCCCTCCTCCCTCGCTCCTCCCTCCTCGCTCGACCCTCCTCCCCCTCCATCCTCCTGCCCCCCTCTTCCCTCTCTTCGTCTTGCCACTTTGGCTCGCGCCACAGTGAGCCAAGCTCTACAACATACTTGCTCAAACCATGTTGTTGCTTCACTGCAACCCCACGGTCCAGAATTTTCGATGGCATCCAAGGCCGAGGCCTGAATATATGTATTCCCGCAACATGATTAACAACGCACTGAAATTAACTAGCATTAGTGCTGATATTACGGGCGCCATCCGATTATATTGGCTTTGCTACGTTGTCCATAGGGTTCTCTCCTGCCTCAACATGCACGGGGGCGCGACATTCTAACAGTCATCTCTCCTCGAGGGAGTTACCTTCCCAGCTGCGGCGATGCGCCAGCCAATGTGCTGCGCAGCTGCGTCACTCATCGCAATAGCCGCCGAATCGGTTTTGCAAACACGTTGAGGGTGGGTGGGTGGGACATTTGCACGGGTGTGGGGTGTGGTCACGCGCGGAGCAAGCAAAATGATTCTCCTTTTCTAAGCGCATGTTCGGATGTACACCCCACCCCTTGGAATTAACGGCCCCCCACTTTTCATTGCAATGTACATGCGATTCTGCCTCACCGTCCATCATACACATGAAACCATATCATCCCAAAAAGGCCAGTATCGGCTCACCCCCTCATAATTTGCAGCAGGTGTTATTCGCGTGCACTTGTTTATCACAAATCATCAATTCCAAAGCAACCTTTTGCACAAACGACGGGACGAAGTGCGCACGCGCGCGTCGTCGCGCGCCCACGCCGTCATCCTTCAACACAAATGAGTCGTACGGATGTCAAAATCGGGGTCCCCAAACATATAAAATCATGCCAACTGACAACACAAATGCTCAAACAAAACTTGCGCCCGGGATCATGCAAATTCCTGAACCACAAGTGCACACGCGAGCGCCGTCGCGCGCGCATGCGGGAACCCTTCGAACAGCAAATTGGGTTTCGTACGGATTTCAAGATCGAGTGTCCCGGACACATAAAGACATATGGTGTTGCAACTTCAATATTCGACTATGCCTGCGCCCTGGCTCTTGCGATTTCTGAAGGATACCATCGGCTTTCAACCTTGTCATGAAAGCTGGCCAAACGAACCCCTCACGCCGCACATCGACATCATTCGAGCGCCCTTGCGTGCGTGCTGGGGGTGGGCACGACCCGCGACAAATTGCAACATGCGGGCCGCTCTCGCGCGTTGGCCGCGCGCGCATGTCGAATTCCATCCAAAACCTTCATCACCGACGCAAAAGCGCCGTCATCGTCGCCGGCGTGATCAGCATCGGCGCCGTCACTGGCCCTGCAGTCGTCGTTGTCATCATCTTCACCAACATCGCTACCATCATCACCGCGTCTACCGTCGTCGACTTTGCCATGATACCGCGCCCGCCCAAGCCGCGAACTCGCAATTAAGTGCCCGCTGGGAAGTGCCTAGTGGTCAGCGCCACCGCGGCCGCGTCGGCAGCGCAAACTATATGGCCGCCGCGCGCGCGAGCATGCCCGGGCTAGCGCGGCCGCAGAGATGCACCAGCCAACCCCAAGCACTCATCGCAATCGTCGCCGCGTGGGTTTTGCAAACCAAGTTGCGGGTGGGTGGGTGGGACAGTTGCCCGAACAGTGGAGTGGACAATTCACGGCGAACAGAAATTGTTGCACCACGTAGACTGCATCACAGAGCGTACACAACAAATGTTGAGCCGCATAGATTGCACCACACGACCTGCATTAAAAAACTGCACAACCTATAATGCACCGCGTGGATGGCACCACATAGGCTCCACAATATAGGTTGCACAGCCTAGATTGCACCACGTAGGTTGCACAACCTCGATTGCTAGAAACACACTGTTTGGGGCCCACGCTGGCTAACTTTGATGTTCCTTGGGTGTTTGAGGGATTGCTGCACTTGCTTCAAAACTGCTTTCGATGCCCTCAAAAGACCCAAGAGGCTCCCAAGATGGAACCAAGATCACCAACAAAGCCTCCAAGATGGCCCCAAGACGGCCCAAGAGTCTCCCAGGACACTCTCCAAGGGCCCCAAGACGGTCCAAGAGGCCTCCAAGACTCCCAAGACTGCGTTCAAGACAACCCTGAAGCGCCCCAAGAGGTCCCCAAAATGACACAGGGGGCTCCCAAGACGGTTTCCGACGGCGTCGGACGGGCCAGGAACGGAGTAAGACGGCCAAAGAGGCTCCCGAGAAGCCCCCAAAGGCCCCCAATAGGCCCCCACGGAGGCACGCCCCCAGGAAACTCCCAGGAGGCCCCAAGAATGGCCCAAGAGGTCTCACCATCCTTCTCCTCATCCTGCTTGTTCATCCCTCTCCTCCCCCAGGTGCCCCGAAGGCCTTCCACATCGGCTCGGGAAACGGGGAACGCCAAACTCTGCCCAAACGTTTGGCCACATAGGCGTATCCTAAAAGGCTGGGGGGCGGCGTTGGTTCGCCGCAAGCGTCTTCGCCATAACGGCTGCACGGATCCAGGCGGTTCCCGTTCAAAACGGGGCTCTCGCTTGAGAGTTCCGCGAAAACTGCATGACCAGAAAGTGCACGCTTAGGCAACAATCCCACGAGCCCTTCAGGGCGTAGGTGGTCTAGGGAGGTTCCTCTTCCAACCCCTGTCTTCCCCCTCGGGGAGGGGTTTACCACTGTTCCCTATTAATGAACACCCCTTCCCCCACCCGGCCGGCAGACAACCCGGAACCATGCGCACACCTTGAGGGCCCCCCCCCCCCACCATCCCTGTCAAAAAACAATACACGACGCACCCTGTCTCAAATTCTGAGCATGCGCAACCAACCCGATGCGGGCCCCCCCACCATCCCTGTCACGAAAACAATACACAGTACACTTTAGGGCAAAGTCTGGAGTCATGTTCGTGAGGCCCGTGGGCACTTTGCATTGTTTTTCGAAAGGGGCGGCGGGGGTGTCAGCATATTGCCAGCTGCGCGCATGGCTACCATCCCTCACAAACACAATACAAAATGCACCTCGCGGCTAAATGTTGATAGCGCGCGGCCACCCAGCGATCATTGTCAAGTAGTGTTTTGTCAGGGACGGCGCGGGTGGTGGCGTATGGCCTGCTGTGCGCAGGCCCACCAGACACAATGATGGGCATTGGTTTTCGACAGGGATGGTGGGGGCCGACATGTTTCCCGATGTGTGCTGTCACGCGCGCAGGAGCACATGACACACTCTGCACGTGCCCCGGACGTGGCGAATCTGGCGTGGCTGGAGGGAGCATCTGCCGCACTAGGCGTGCCTGGCACGCTCGGGCCCTAGGGGTGCCTGGCGCGCGTGGCGTGCCTGGCACGCGTGGCGCACCTAGCCACAGCGTCGCGCACATGGGCTCGGTTTTGGTTCCCAATAGCTGTCCATCAAAAGACGACCGTCTCGGCGAGGAAGCCACCAAAATCCCATGTTGGCCTCCTGGAGGGGGGGGGCTAATTAAGGAACCCCCCTTCTTTGATCGATCTCCTCCGAGATGGCCCCAAGAACGCTCCCACGGCTCCCAATGGTGGCCCAAAAGGGCCCCAAGAGGTGGCCAGGAGGCCCCAAGAGGCCCCCAAGAGGCCCCCAGGATGCCCCCAAGAGGCTCCCAAGAGACCCCCAAGAGGCCCCAACAGGCCCCCCAGAAGCAACCAAGACGCTCCAAGAGGCCTCGGCGAGAAGGCCAAAATCATTGATTGTACTAGTTGGCTACATTTTGGCCTCCTGGGGGGGGTGGCACTGATTAAGATGACTCCAAGAGCGCATGGGAGAGCCCACGATGACCTCCAAGATGGCTCAAGATATCCCAAGTTGCCTCAAGATGGCCCCCACGATGCTCCAAGAGGCCTCAAGACCGCTCCAAGACGGCTCCAAGTGGCCAAAGAGCTCCCCACGGAGGCCCCGAAGAGGCCAACATTCTTCCAAAACCTTGAGGAAATCAATGTGTTTGGCTTTCTCGCCTTTTCGCTTCCGATGGCCGTCCGAGGACTCAAGATGGCTCCAAGATGGCCCAAGAGGGCTCCAAGAGAGGCTCAAGAGAGCCCCCAGAAGGACACATGAGCGCCCAAGAGCGACCCAAGAGGGCCCAAAGAGCGCCCCAAGAGGCGACTTTTCGGGCTCCCGAGGGGCAACGCTAGTTCATGCTCTCCCCTTGCTTGATCGATGTCCTCCAACATGGCCCCCAAAGCGCTCCCAAGGCTCCCACGAGCGCTTCAAGGGGGCTCATTTGTGTGTGCTGCCCACTTCCCTGATCGAGGCAATTCCTCTGGGCATTGTTTCTGGATGGGCTGGTGGGGTTACTTTTTTCGGTCGCGGCCGCGAGACGACGGTCAGGCGGCAAGAGCAAAGTCTGGGACGCGAACTAGGCGAATTAGCTAAGACAGGCGCAAGCCGGCCGGCCCACTCAGACAGCAGCTGCGAAGCTGAGGGGGTGGAACCGACGGCGGAGAACGTCCTGCAAGCTCGAGCACGTGCACCGGACAGCTGGTGGGGTAATGCGAAGCGTCTAGCATGACACGGGCGAGAGCCCACCTTTGCAAAGCGGGAGTGTCGCTGGACACCTCGCTGAACTGTACGATCATACACGCTCGCTGTCCTCACTTTCCGTTTCAGTGATGCTGGGTAAGTCATTCTCGAAGCGGGAACATCGCAAGAGTGGCAGGCCCACAATAGTGAAGACGACTGCCTGCAGGGACTCATGAGGAGGGGATTTGGGACGGGAAAGTGTACTGCAACATCGTTGATGCATCTTGGGTTTACGCTGGCCCGTCCTCCTCCTTCTCCTCGCCCTCCCTCTCTCCCTCCTTCCGCACCGCGCGACTCGCTCCCCTTTCCTGCCTCGGAGGGAGAAAGGAGCGCCAGCGCTCTTCCCGGGTCAGCCTAGGCCACGGCACGACCAGGGGCCAGTCACGAAACGGCTCCCCCATCGGGGTCAGCGGAAGGAGGGGGGGATGAGGGTGTCGGCTCCACGTGGCTCCCACAAACCGGGTCGGCCAAAGAGGATCAGCAAGGATTGGCTGACCCCCGTCAGGGGTGACCCTCTTATGTAAAGGGGTCTCAGGACACACAATCACATGCACAAAGTTCCAGGATTCCCCATCTTTTCATATATATATATATATATACACACACGTATATTTATATATATATATATTTACACACTCTGGGTCTTCATCTCCACCTCCCATTTCCCATATGTTCCTATTTTTCGTTGGAGTCGACGATTCATTGTGTATGTGTTTTTTGTTGTTCCTCTCCTGACCCTGCTTGCAGCCCGACCGACACCTCTGGTCAAGTGCCGCTCGGCCCCAAGAGCCCCCCGCGGGCCCCACCTCGGCCAGCTTGTCGCCTGGCCGCCAACCGGTCCCACGGAGGCCGGACTTTGAAGAACTTGAGAGGACAGCCCGCGTGAGCTTTACCGATCCGTTCGCGAGGGCGGACCCCCGTCACCGTGTGCCACAAGAGAGGGGGGGGGCCTTCCTGCCTTTCATCCCCCCTCCTGCGGCTCCTTCTCCCTCCTCCTCCTCCTCCTCGCTTCTGCTCCCCCATCCTGTTCCGTTCTACCTGCTCCTCCCCTGAGATCCGACGCTGCCACCGAGAAAGACAACATCGCAACAAGCAAGACCGGAACCCTAGGCCCAATCTGTCTGCTACATGTCTCCTCGAGCTAGATGCACGCCGGCCAATCCGCGTTTCGGTCGCCACGAATCGCCGCCCGCTGAAGCAAGTTCTCTGCCTCACCGCTGACGGAAAATTTTCGAGCCAAACCGATATGTGATGATCCTGGGGCCCGAAACCAGGCGACATCGCCGGGTGTGCAACGCCCTCAATGCCTCTCCTGCTCCTCCTGGTTCCTCCTCCTTGCCGCGAGGGCACCCGGAAGATCCCCCCGTCCATCTCGGTGTCGGAGGGGTCGTGGTCTGAGCCGCTGCGCGAGCCGCCAGTGCCGTCCGCCAGGAACACCTTCTGCGGCAGGCCGTCCTCGCCGAGTGGAGGCGGTGGGGAGACGGCCACAAGCGAGCGACGTGAACAGACGGGTCGTGCGCAAGAGGGCATAGCAAGCTTACGCGGTGGCTTACGCGGGCCGCCAGCGAGGCACTCCACATTGGAAGCAACAGCGCCTGATTGTGTGCGACCTCGCGCGGAAAGCTTGCGCGCGAATGTCAGCGCAGTCGGCCCCGTGTCGCCCGTCGCCCAGGTGGGAGCAGAGATCTGCTGGGCACCGCCACCGTCGCGAGGCAGCCATGGGGGGCGGGTCTCGACCCCGGTGGCGTGGCCCGGGAAAAAACGCACAGACACAACCCATCGTCGACCCTCAGGAAAAGTATGGGGCAATATGGGAAGTGGGGGTGGGAGGACGACAGCCCAGAACACATGGGGAGGTAGAGGGAATCTTTTGAGCAGGGACCGACCGTCCCGGCATTTCTATAGGCCTACCACGACATGTTCTTCGAGACCAAAAATGTTCTAAGAACGCAAACAATACTCTTAGAACATACACCCGGGTGTTTAAACAAGCCGGCCCCAGCCAGCAATGTTCTGAGAACAGTTCGTGGGAACCACGAAGGGTGCTTAGACCATTGCTTGGTAGGCCCATAGGCACGCCGGGACGCTTCGCCACTGCTTCGAATCCTGGGACCTCGACCACCTCTGCGGCGCCTCGCTGGCGACGCCTCCCGTCTCCGGCTCGGGGAGGCGTCGTGGGCCCCCTCGCCGGAGGCGGCCCGCTGGCAGTGGGGCCGCCTCTCCGCCCTAACGACCACGTCGTCGTCGTCCTCGCCGTCGTCGTCGCCGTCGTCGACGCCGTCGTCGTCGACGTTGCGGTCTCCCTCCTCGTCCTCGTCTGCCTGCCTACCTCTTCGGTTCCGCTCGTCCTCCCCTGCACGCCTCGAGCGAAACGATTCGGGAAGGCGGAAGCGGAGGAAGAGGCCGTGAGAACTTCGCAACGTTCTGACAGGGTTTCGGCGGCATGGGGAGGTGCTCGGTGGCTGTCGGAGGTTCAGGGAGGCTCAAAGATATGGATGGGACGAGGATGGAGAGGAGTGTGGGACCGCAACAATGAAAGACGAACAACACGCATGCGTGCACAGTGTAGTAGTGTGCTTAGTGTGCTCACGCTGGATGGCAGGATGTCCTTGGCCGCCGGAGAGATAACTGACGTGGAAGATGCTGTGAGCACGTTCTCGACGAACATGTCTGCGATGTGTTTTGTGTTGAACGTATGAGAGAGAATGCGAACGCGATCGCGGGTGGAGAACCCTTGGGCCGAAATGAGCAGCGTACACTGGCGATCGCGAAGCGAACACGAAAGTAGCAGAGATGGTATCAACGACGATACTGGAATACAGTGGTAACGTCAACTACGACCACCATTGTCACGCTTGCATTCATGGCAACGCAAAGAGCACGGCGACTACGTACCGCGGCCTTCATGGCAACACGAAGAACACTGCGACTGCGCTTGTGGCTACACGGGCAACAACAGCGAGGGCAACAAGGCCCGCCAGACCCCTTGCAACGCCACACAGCATGCCATGCACCACGTCATGGCGATAATCTACCTCGGTCAACTTCCTAATCCTACCAGCCCTGTGGCATAAATGTGTGCGTGTACATGTTCTAACGTATAAACATACTTCCCAATACGTTCCCAACACCCTTCTTCACCTTCGGGGAGGACTTTAGCCTTCCCCCGGACCACCTCCCCTGCCTGGAAGAGAGAGGGAGGCGCGAGGAGGCAGTGCCGAAAATGGCGCACCATGGCTCCAAACTGCAATATGGCCCGAGGTAGGCCAAGATGGCCTCCAACACGGCACAACATGATAAACCATGGCTCCAATATGCCTCTAGGATGGCCCATCTGCGCAGAAGATGCCGCAAGATAGCTCCTAAAGGCATCACGATTGCTGCAATACTGCCCCAACACAGTGCACCCCTGGACTAGCCCAAAGATTGCCCCAGAACGTCCCAAGGTTACCAACAACAGCACCGAAACAGTATCTTCATCAAGTCTCAGCCAGGCTGCTCCCAAACCACAGATCAACTTCACAAAGCACAACTTTTCTGATACTTCGTGGCGCAGCGCGCCCATCCACTCGCCGGCCCCGCAAGACGGTTCAGCGCCTCGCCATCTCTAGGGCAGGTAGCGGCCGATGTTCTCCACAAGCCACCGCGCACGTTCTCCGCCTCCGATCGGGCTCCCCACCCCCCCTCATCGCCGACTGTCAACACTACTGTGGGTGGTGAGGCCTCGCGCGACACTCAAAGGATATCGCTGCGAGACGCAGATCGCCTAATTCCGTGTTTCGCGATGCGCGAAGCGCAGTCTCTTTCGTACACTCGCGCCAAGCCCGGGAAAATGACAGCGCTTCGGCAATGACCGCGAAACGCGGTTATCTTCGCGCCCAGGGGGTTGACCTGGACGACGACACCAGGCGAAGAAGCAGGAACCAACTTTGAGCAGACGAGAACGGCCCCCACTGCCGCTGGCTCACTTCAATGTTTGTTCCACCTCCCCCTGCCGTCGACTCCCAGGCTGCACACTACCTCCTCCTCCTCCCCCTCCTCATTCTCCCCCTGACCATCATCATCACGATCACCACCACCATCATCATCAGCATCATCATCATCATCATCATCATCAGCATCAGCATCAGCATCAGCATCATCATCAGCATCATCATCGTCATGCTCATCATCATTATCATCATCATTATCATCATCGCCATCAACATCACCATCACAATAACTATCATCGTCACCATCACCATCACCATCTCCATCACAACTACCAACACCACCAAGAACATCATCACAATCACTATCTTCATCACCTTCACCAGAACTATCATCATCAACATCATCAACAACAACACCAACATCATCATCAACTTAACATCAACATCATACGTGTCAGCGTCCTCATTATCACCTTCGCCATCGCCATCACCGTCACCATCACCACCGCCATCACAACCACCACCATCATGATTATCATCATCAGCATCATCATATTTATCATCATCACCATCAACATCATCATCAACATCTCATCAACACCATAAGCATCAACATCATCATCATCATCAGCATCATGTTCATCATCCTCATGAGCCCCCACTTGCCCCCTTCCCCTGTTCCTCCTCTCCTCCATATGTGTAAGTGCTAACTCCTGTCGCTTAACCAGACGTGTCGGTGAGGCGGGCCGGGTGTTTCGCCTGACTCTTCCTTTAATTTCGGGATATTGAAGCGCGACATGTCCAACAAAAAACCGTAGGAGCAAATCAAGACCACCCCCAGGTCACAATACTTGCGCCCCGCTTGAAATACATAAGTCCTGGGGAGGGGGGTGGTTGAGCAGACTGCTACTACTGAGCTGAACACGTCCAAAAGGAAGACGCGGAACTTCATCAAATTGGAACCCTATGTTGAACATACTGGTGTCCTCTTGTGGCTCTAACGGAATCTTGAAACAATCCAACAGAAAGATGAAGAAACCAAGCGGAAACCGACGGAATCTCGATGAAGTCCTAAGAACATGCATGACATGGAGTCCGAAGGAATATGATTGAAATCTTCACGAGTCTTGGCGACCCCTACGGATACCCATGGAATCCTCATCCCCTCGTGTAAACTTTGGCATTGCACTCAGCTTTGGATATAAAAGTTCTGTGATCTTCGCATGGGGTAGCACGTTCGAGCATCGACCCCCAGGGCCGCAACGCCCTGTACCTTAATATGACTCTGGTGCGTGGGAGCGGGAATCCATCCAGCCCTTTGGGCGAGCGTGGTCGACCTAAGCCAATATCCTTCAAAAGCCGAGGGACGCCTTCGATGTCTGCATTCACGTCTTTTCGCTTCCAGTGTGCTTTCGAGGCCTCACGCTTGTCCTAAGAGGGCCCAAGATCGGACCAAGAGCGTCAGAGGGCCCCAAGAGACGATTTTGACAGCCACAGAGGCGGGGCCAAAAATCGTGGACACCTCTCTTTTGATCGATGGCCTCCAAGATGGGACCAAAAGGTCCTCCAGAGCTCGCAAGACAACCCCAAGAGGGCTCCAGGAGGGACCCAAGATCCCCGAAAGAGCTTCGAAAGGGCTCCAAGATCTCCCAAAACAGTCCCAAGAGAGCTCCAAGAAGGGATTTGAGGGCTCTGTCTTCGTTCTCGTTGTCCTCCTCCTCCTCCTCTTCCTCCTGCTGCTCGTCCTTGCCCTCATCGTCTCCCTTTTCCTACTCCTTCGCTTCGTCGTAGCTGTGGTCGTCGTTGTCGTTGTCGTTGTTATGGTCGTCGTCATCGTCGACGTCGTCGTCGTCCTCCTCCTCCTCCTCCTTCCCTCGCCCCCACGCGGGCCCCGAGGATGGCCCAAAGATCGTTATTTTATTCACTGGGGGTAACGTGTGTTACCGTGGGAAAGGGGGGGTCGGGGGGGTGGGGGTGACGACAACGGCGGCTGGCGAGCACCCCCGAAAACGCGTCCACAACTCCGGTGCAACAGCCGCCTGAATTGTGTGTGCGCTACGACAACACCATAATGCCTCTGTGCACGAGCACCCGCGTACGCAACATCGCTATTGCACACCAAAGCCTGCATGCACTGGATGACACCACGGCGACTGCGCGTATCACAGCAGCCGAGTGCACCAAACCGTGGCCATACACCACAGCGCCGGAGCGCACGAATCGACAACAGAAGCGTGATCGAACAGGCCGTTTCGGCCTGGCCCCGCCTCCTTCGCCCTTCCCAACTTCACCTCTGACTACCCTCCCTTTGTCCTAGCGTGAAACACCTTGCAACATAATAAATAACACGAAGGCAACGGGAGGAGGAACGCTACGACGACGACGACGCCGGCGGAGACGACGCCGATGACGACAACGACAACGATGCCTGTCCACCTTCGGGGGCCCTGCGGCCACGTCGGTCGTTGTTGGTGTCGTCGTCCTCCTCCTCCCCCCTGTCCTCCACCTTCTCCTCCTGCACCT